GTACTACCACTGAAGGCAAGAAAGAGAGGACAGGTTTATCCCAGAAAAACCTGAAATGTTGTTACGATGTAGATTTTCAATGTTCTGTGTTTCAGGTTTACTGGGGTGATAATGTTTTCTTTTTTTTTGACTGTCTAGTTTCTAATGAGGAATTGCAATCTAGGGTTAAATTTGAGGGAAGGCTGGGGTTTAGCTGTCCTGTCCAGTCTGCCATGTTGGTGCCCAGAGAGGTGTTGATGAGTTTATCTAGCACAGGTAGAGCTGACCATGTCCAGAGTATGAAGTACTGGACCATTTTTGGCAGTTACAAGAAGCTTTATGTGAGATATTAAGAGTAAATTATAAATTTCTTATCATGTATACATCTATTTATTTTTGATCAGTTCATTTATGGGACGTCCACGCACACAGATGTTCAGACGCCTTTAGATGTTTCCCATGTTTTTCCGGTTTGCATCGCAGTGTTGTCAGCCTAATCTTTCATGTTAAAGGGGCATACAGATTTGTTGTTGCATGGTCTTTCTTACAGATCGGCTAATGCATTTGGTCATTAACATTCCATACTCCACCCACTTTCACTCTTCTCCTTCATCCACACAGCACCCATATGTCCAGGGCATCTCAAACAGAAATATTTTTAAAGATCACAGGGTTTCATTAAAATAATATGTTGTTACTTCAACATTTATTCAGTGTAGGTGAAAACATTCACGGTTCTCTTCTAAGCTTAAAAATGTAAAGAATGTAACTCCGATGGTGCTGATCAAAAATTGCATTGTATTTTCAAAAACAAAAAGATATTTAAATGACAGGACTCACTTTGTTTCCATTCCTATAGATTGTTTGCCCTCTGGAAAACTTCCCCATATTTTTCTGAGTTAAAACGCCTTAGTGAATGTACAGGATTGAGACTCCTTAAGCACTTGTACATACTTTTACAACTTGTTGGTCATTTCATTACTGACTTAATCAAGTGTGAATAGTGACTGATACTACATCTATTACTGTGCCCCTAGTTTATTCAGAGGTTTAACATTTTTGCGGCTGCTTCTGAGAGTTTGGAAACACTTTTTCGGGGCTGAGCGCAGTAGCATTTCCTTTGTTCAATTATTATTTTTTATTTTTTTTACAAACATACTTCAAACATTAACAAGAGAGAGAGAAAAGCTGTGTGCATCAGATGTTCTTGGCATTCTCCATGTGACAACTAAATCTTCTGATTTCCCTTTATACTCATCAGTTCCTACCACTTCTTCTCACATGACATACATAAAGATTGGCTTCTGTGCAGCCTCTCTGTCCATACATTATTTCAGTCATTCATCCCTACCAATGTGCCTTGGTAAATGGTAAATCTGGATTTGTTTCTGCATAACAAACTGTGCTGTCTGTCGAGCGGGGTTGATGTGCAAGAATTCCAAATCCGGTGATCAACACAATGCTGGTATATGCACCATTTCTGTTACTTTTTGTACACACTGATCTAGCGAGGGTGAAGCTGCAGACAATGAGAAACTGCACAACAGCACAGCTGGCAATAAAGGAAAAAGTGCTACAACTGGTTGATAAGAATCTGTTTTCTGGAGTTTCGATTGGGGCATCTTTATTTGTTCAGTGTTTAACATCTCTCGATTGTTTGAAAAATAAAATGATCTAAATCTTCAGCTCGGTTGGTTGGGTGTGGGTCTGTTGCAGCCTTGTTTTGTTGTATCCTTGCACATTTTGCCCATGTTTAAACTTCATATTTAGTTCGAGCTCTTTATACCTCTGCCTAAAAGTTCTTTGTAGTTTTAAAATCCACTGTAAATTGGTGTAATTTGATGTACTTACCCAGTTTGTCCATGTGGGGGTGCATATCTTCCAATGTCTCCCCACTCCCTCTGTCTACATCATGCAAGGGTGGAATGGTGAGCTGTTTCAATTCAGTGGGAGTGAATTAACCAGTCATTTTTTCAAAGCTCACCAAAAATAAATGGCACTTTGCTTTTTAATTTAAAGAATCACACTTGAGTTTTGAATAATCCTCAGGAGTAGGAATTTTGAATTGTCAACCCCCACAGTAAGAAAAAAAAAAGTGTACAGATGTGTCATTTTAACTAGCACTATTAGTCTTAATATAGATTAAATGTCCCTGTATAGGCTTAATAGATTCAAATGTACAATACTGACCTACGAAGGCAAAAGCCCTTAACTCGCCAGAGTTTACAACTGAGAAAAATGACTTTAAAGTATTTTTGTTGTCCAGCCAAATGAGTTGCAGGCAGAATATTGGAAATGTGGCAATTGTTTGTCTTTTTAATCAGGTTATTAATGTTCATAAAAAGCTTTAGCTCAAACATGACCTTTGACCCTTATTTGGAAGTTAAGGTACTCTGCCTTTGCATTGCCTGTACAATAATAACGGGGTCATGCCAAGGCAAAAGGCATTAACTTCCATTTGATACTGTATTTCACTTGGTTGCATAGTTAAAATAACACAACCAACGCTATTTCTTTGCTACACTTTAGTCAAGCTACTGTGTGTGTCAGAAGTCCTTGATGACATTAAAACAAAGGCATAACACTTTAACTCCACTGCAGTAAAACAGTAACTTCACTTTGATCTGCAGCAAAACAAAGACAGAAGACCTGAACTCAGTTTGAGCATTCCTGAATGCTGCAGTTCAAAGGTAAAGACCCTTATGAGTGAAGTTACTGCACTCTGCCTTGGTTTCTCCAGGGCTTTTGGAAGTTAAGGCAAATACAACCTACTATTTTCTCAAAAAACAACAACACAATTGACTCAAGATATCTGTCCACATAAAAAAGAACATCTGTAATGTTCCAAAAATTACAAAAACTCTTTTGTTAGTTACTGCCTTTTGCCTTTGTAAGGCAGAATATACGTCACTGCCATGACTCAGTCTGTTGATGTAATCACATAACTGATATCAGTAGAGTAAACTGTCCTCCCCTTAGGGTGTGTTTAGTTACACTCAGGCTGACTCAGTCCTCTTCACACCTGTGTGATGTCATCACCAGGTAAACATACCCTAAAATGCAGCTGTTTTTATGACCGCAGACTGAAAAGAAACATCTGGTATCGCGTCACTTAAAAAAAAAAAAAAGTTGTGCGTTTTCTCAGTTAATTGTCCTGGTTGCCATGTATTGAATGGCTTTATTTACCCACAACCCCACGTTAATAACTAGATCATTGCAGGTCATTTTATTTATTTATTAGTCAATTTATTGAACATGTTAAGAAAATACAAACACAAAATAAAAAGGAAAAAAACTAAACAAAAAAACCAACTGGATCCTCAGGATCCATAGCAACAAATAAATAACTCAAATAATATAGTTCATGTTCAAAAGGGATAGGAAGAAGTTAAAACATTTTCTGGTCCTACCCCTTCATATTTTTATGCATTATTCACAGAAAAATACAAATGTTTTCATCAATCAGTGTATGATGTTGGACTTGTTGGCCAAAACTAATTCAGTTTTCAGACAAAACAACAAAATAATGGGAACAGATTAATCAAGACCATCAGCCAAGAAATAACCAAATAGAAAACAGAAAAACAGAATCACTGCTCCAGCTCGTATCTATTAAATATTTTATTCCTGAAGAGTTTTTTTTAGTTTAAATATAGTGTTGCATTTTTTCAGCTCGTCATCACAGTTGTTCCACCCTTAGTTGTTACACAGTGAAGTTTTGCATTAGTTCTGATTGGTGGTTTCTTGAATATACAGGTTCCTCTCAACTTATGTTTGCTTTCTCTCGGTTGGAACAACTCCTGGATACCATGAGGCAAGTACTGATAGTTTGCTTTGTACATAATTTGAATAGTTTTATAGTCAATCAAATCCTGAAATTGTAGTGTTCTTAGTTTAATAAATAATGGATTTGTTGGTTCACTGCAAGTGGTTTTATGTATAATTTGTAAAGCTCTTTTTTGCAGTATTCAATCAGTGAGTCGGCTTCATATCCGGGTACTTCGCTTTAGTATGTGATGTAGTTTCATGATGTAGTTTCATGAGGTGTTCATGTTTATCAAATTTGATATGCTTCAGATTAAATAATTATGATGACTTTAGGCTGAGGTGCAACATTTTTACTCATAAATTACTTTTAAAAAAAGTGTTTCCTTTGCTGTGGCTTAAATCCAGTTATGATATTAGACTTTTTTTTCCCCATGTGGTAGTATATTCCATTATGAGGTTTTTTTTTTTTTTTTTAATTCCTAGTTATCCAAACTTGACTCTTTCTCTTTCTTTTACTAGTGATTTGACTAAAGGTAGCAAAACATAAAGACCCTAAAGCCTCCCCAAACAATAGTATACAGTTATCATGTAAAGAAATACGCAATCCTCTGAGCACACAGTAGCAAAAAAGACATTATCCTAGAGTAGATGTAGTCATCCACACATGTCTGGAAGCTGTAACAAATCTGCTATCTAAAAATCCCATATCCCCTACATTACGTCACCTCCGTAGCTAGTTGAACTTGGTGTAGTTACTCAAACTTTTTCTCGACAGTGACTCAAAAAAGTGCGACAATTTGTCTGGTCCGCTGAAAGTCTGGTATGCAGTGTGGGACGGTGGATCACTCCCACCATTCAGGAATTTGGGAAGTTTCCTTCCATATAAGGAGTTTTTGATTTCTATCGCGACCTAAGGAAGAGAAGGGGAAAGGTGGAGCCTAGGATCGATTAACGAAGCGGGTAACCCAAGAGTATGCAGGAGGACAAGAGAGTCACCACCTCCGTGAGCCATGTTTTTAATCTTTAGCAGAACACATGCACTAGCCAGCCAATGTAAACAACAAGAAATCCATTCCAGCTGTCTGATTCTTTGCTCATACTTCCTGCAAAGGCTTACATGTTGACATATTGTTATGAATATTCACTAGGGGAAATCACATCTGATCTCTCTATTGCCCGTCAGCAGAGAACTATCTTGAGTTGAATCGCCACTCTTTGGTAGAAGCCGTGGGAGCGCTCTAATTGGCGGCCGTAAAAGAGAAAGGAAGCATTTAGTTCACTCCGTTTTCATTGGAAGAGAAAGTCGAACACATTTAAGCGGAGATTTTATCCACAAGTTAGGCTCTTCTGTTTTTTTTCTGTAACCACATAGAAGCACGACAAGTCTTTGACAATGTCCTTCCACAAAGGTCCTTCCTACGGATTATCAGCGGAGGTGAAAAACCGGGTATGTATGACACTTTAATATAGTTAAGTTAATTATGTAATATCAAACTTCTCCTCCCGTCACCCTCTCATTGTGCCTCACGCTGGACCTGAGTTTGGGAGTCACCTGGCCTCCATTTTGACGAGCGTGCTCAGGTTAAAGGTAGTGAAAGGTGGATGAAATTAAAAGTTTTGAAAGAGAGGCTTAAAGGGACTAACTATTATCAAAGATTTTCAGCGAGTTATCAGTCATTGCAAAGTTCAGCCCTACTTTCATCTTTGAGTTTCGTGTCTTGAAAAGCAGAACTTGCTTGTTGTTCTATAGCCGTACGAAACAAACCTAAAAACCCAGCATGGGCGTTGTCCTTCAAGAGAAGAAGTGTGTCGCTGTGGCATAATTGTTCTCCGTTTCCAGAATTATCTGTTTAATGTGCTGCGGTTTGTTGGCCGGCATTGTGACCCGCATTAGTAGATAATGTAATTCATCTTCCAAGTCCCGGGATTTGGCTTCATTCAGTCCTTCTGTGTTTTTTTTTTTTTTTTTTTGCTGTTTTTTTTTTTTTTGCTGTATAATGGCTAGAAAAGTTTCCTCCTCCCCCCTCGAGGCAAATTTCCTGCTACTTCTTCTTTCATTTTGACTTTTCTCTATTCTCAAACAGTTTTTTTTTTTTTTAATTGTGGCTCTCCCGCTGTAAAAAAAAAAGAGTCCTTGTACAGACTGAAGTTAAACAAACCGTATCCAAAGTGACCCCCCTTCTCTTTGGTAATGTGTAACTTTTTGATTGCGGCCTTGTTTATTTGGACCTGCCAGCACTGATATGTGCACATCCGGATCCACTTAAAATGCCAGAGCTGATGCTGCTGGAGATACCTGACCACGTTGTTACGCATCAATTCCCCCTTTAATAATATTGTATAGATGTGCTGTTACAATGCAAAACGCTTTCATCTTTGTTTCCTGCCAGAAGAGATGGAGATCTATTGGTTTTGCTCTCAAGCCTGCCAGTGTTTCTTTAACTCGCCTTCAGCTGATTTTTTTTTTTCTTTTTTTTCTCTCCAATTGCATTAATTTCTTTGCTTCAGTTCTTGCACAGGAGAGAAAGGGTCCTGTCCCCTCCCAGAACCTTTTGGAACAACATGTGCAGGATGTAAAGAAAACATGTAGATTTACTCTTGTCTGTTACCGATGATGTCCTTGAAGTGGGGGAGTGTAAAGTGATGCTGACTTGAGTGGTATTTCCTGCCAAAAGTGCCATAGCCTTGACCATGAAATGTGAAGAATTTAAGGATTTTAAACCCCTTCCCCTTGAACATTTTCCTTTTAAAAAAAAAAAACTAACATTAAAAAAAAAGTGCCAAAGTTTAGAGAGGGAACAAACAGTTTTTGAGTTTACGCCACAACGTCTGTATTCATTCATTCATTCATTGGATCAACACACGCAGACAGACTCCTTTTTATCGAAGCACTGTGGGGTGAATTCCACCCATTCAGCTTGTCTCTGTAAATTACATCTGTCTGATTCTTTGTGGGCAATTAAAATAGCTTGTGTTGTTTTTTAATATAGGGATAACTTTACGAAGGAAGTGTAATTAGAAGACAGACATTCCTCAAGAGTACATCCAGCTGTGAGCTGAGTGCGGCCGGCTTCCATGTATAATAGTAGGTTAAAGTCAGCGGTTTGGTTTCTCTGGTTGGCCTCAGGACAGAGAGAGGTTGTTAACTGCTTGAGAGCTTGCACGAAGCTCAGTCAACACCTCATCCTTTGCTGGAGGAGAAGAAATCAATGCCTGTGTTTCTTTTTTTTTTTTTTTTTGCTGCTTTCTTACTTTGTGACTTTTGTTTACGTGACCATAATGTTCCTTTTATGAATGGCCTCTTTCTGAGCAAGCAGAGCACGTTTCTCACACTTATGCCGTCAATCAAAAAAGGCTTATAAACCTGAGTAACACCTCAAAAGCAACGCCCTTTTCTAGAAAGTCAATCTTTGTGCCACCTTAAGCCCCTTAAAGTGCTCCTTCCCTCCCCCGTTCCCAAACCTTACTGCCTTCCTGTGTTTCAGGAGAATCTTACCAAACAGGATATATGTGTGCATGAGTGAGGTCAAGTCAGTGTTCCCTTTATCTATGACTGCTAAAAGAGACTAAACCTCCTTTGTAGACATGGCAGAATACACTGAGGCAAAGCAACATTCATTGGTGGCCATGACACAAGATTAGATGAAGTCATAATCAACGTTTGAGGGCACATATGACATTTTGTGTTGTGCGATTGGCCTACGAGTTTTCATTGCTAGCGATACAAATGAATTATGGAATTCTCAAACAAAAAAAATCCCCCACTGAATATCATTGCTGCTAGTAAACAAATGTGACATTTTGACTTCTCTCTCCCCCCCCCCCGACCAGATCGCACAGAAGTATGACTCTCAGAAAGAAGAGGAGCTGAGGGCCTGGATCGAAGAGATTACCGGCGCTACCATCGACCCTGACTTCCAGAAAGGCCTGAAGAGTGGAGTCATTCTGTGCGAGTAAGCAGCACACATCACAGCTGGGCTGTTACCAAAATTATAGTTTTTTTTTTTTTTTTAAATTATAATTTTGTTGTGTTTTTCTCTTCTCCTTTTCCCCTTTTAGACTTATCAACAAACTCGCCCCAAACTCTGTGAAAAAGATCAACCAGTCAGCACTGAACTGGCATCAGGTGAGTTAATAAATGACTTTTTTCAAATAATTAAGGGTGCGGTAAAACAATAGTTCATTCAAACTTGTAATGACTCTGACTCTATTCTGTACATACTTTATTAATAGCGCCTTGTTCTGTGGCATTGTGCTCTGTACCGGTTCAGATGTCAGGATACTGAATCATGCTATGTCATGGCTCTACTTACACATTTTCAATGTTACAAGCATCCCTTTTGTTTTAGAGCGTCTTTTCAGTGCTGCTTTTGAAACTGGTTTTTTGACCGAGGTGTGACCAGCCACTGTCAACAAACTCCCTCGTCTTAGACGGCCTGAATGTTTTTAAGGCTACAGGACTGTGTTTTCTTCTGAAGATACATTAAGGTGGAATGCAAACAGAGAAATAATCACACTGCTGTTGTTCTTCACCCTGCACACTCATTGGTGGTTCTTCTTTTTAAATCGGTGCAGCTGGAGAACCTGACAAACTTCACCAAAGCCATCACGGAGTTTGGCCTGAAGCCTCACGATATCTTTGAAGCCAATGACCTGTTTGAGAACGGAAACATGACACAGGTCCAGACGACGCTGCTCGCACTCGCCAGCATGGTGAGACTTTCTTTTTTTTTCTTGGCTGTTCAGGCAAAGAATAATAAATGATGGTTTGTGATTGGCTGTTATTCTGCTTAGTGACCCATTAATTGTCTTCTTTTTTTTTTTTTTTTCCCTCAGGCGAAGACCAGGGGCTGCCAGTCACGGTAGACATCGGGGTGAAGTATGCTGACAAGGTGGAGAGGATGTTTGACGAGGAGAAAATGAAAGCAGGACAGTGCGTCATTGGTCTACAGGTATGGAGGTCTTTTTTTTTTTTTTTTTTTTTTTTAAGACTCCTGGGTGAGCAGCAGGGTTTTTAAGGAGATCTCTTAAGTATGGTGACAAACTATTACTTGAAAAGAAAAAAAGCTAATACTTGTTAAGTATCATCAATTTCTTAGAAATATCTCAAGGTTTCGGTCCCTCTGAACCTTCGTCAAGTGTGTGAGCAGCAGGGTTTAAAATCTCAAGAGAGTCAGCAGCACTTTTTCTTAGATCTGTTCAAGCTATGTTCGCTAAGGCCTGAAATCTCCATAAGATCACATTCCTTGATTTGAGCTTCTCAGGTTACTGTAGGTTGTGTTTGTGCATGTTTGAGAGGGAACACAGGACTGTGGAGGGTTACATATTTAATATTATGTGATTTATTTTTTTATTTTTAAATAAAAAAAATCCTAGGTTTAAAAAAAAAAAAAAAAACAATTGAAAGCTGCTGAATTTGGCATTTATTTGCTAGATCTGACAGAGCTGAGGTGAATCACATGGTATTAAAGCTGAGCCCAATGCTGCATGGGATGAAACTACTGCGAAACCCGCCGGTCATGACCTCATGTCAGGCACAGCATACTTCAGAATAAGAATGTGTCATTGTTCACTCTGCCTCTTTAGCTTCTATGTTTTGTTATTGTTTCTGTTGCCAAGACGGATTTCACACAGACATGAGGGCTGCCTAAACAGAGAGAAATCGACAGAACCACTTAGTGTTGATGGTATCTGTAGAGCATAGTGACATGAGGGCTGAAACTTTAAAGTACATGAAGGTGTCAGAATGATATGTGGGGGATATTATGCAACATGTGAGCACTCAGTGCAGCAAGCCAACTGAACATGGTTTTATTGTGTTCTTTCTTTCTTCAGATGGGATCCAACACGGGTGCTAGTCAGGCAGGTATGTGCGCATACGGCACCAGGAGGCATTTATACGACCACAAAAATAATATCCAGGCCCCCATGGACAACACAACCATCAGCCTGCAGATGGGAACCAACAAGGGGGCGAGTCAGGTACTGCAGCTTATTCCCCACTTCTCATAAATCCAATATTATAGGGCTCAAGTGGGAACACGCCTCAAGGCATCGCTCATTTCCCGTCCTTCCACCGCTGTAAACCTGTGTCATGTTTAGTCTTGTAGAAAGCTGTAAAGCCTTGTTTTATTTCTCCCTCAATGGAAAACAAACACTTGATCAGCACTTTTGGCTGTTCATGCCTGAACAGAAAAATAACTGCTGCGTGACTGATGTCATGACAGTTAGATGAAAGGTACATGTGATTCTTATTCCCTTCCCTCTGTGCATACTCCAGGCTGGGATGACAGCTCCAGGGACAAGGCGTGCCATCTACGACACAAAACTGAACACAGACAAGTGCGACAACAGCACCATGTCCCTACAGATGGGCTACACCCAGGGAGCCAGCCAGAAAGGACAGAACTTCGGCTTGGGCCGGCAGATCTATGACGCCAAGTACTGTCCAACAGCCAGAGAGGAGGTAGAGGAACAAAACGGGGCCGGCGTGGCTCGCGACTACATCCCAGATAACCAAGATGAGGGTTACCAAGGCTACCAGGAAGAGGAGCAGGTGTACCAAGGGGATGGGACTGATTATTAGGGCGGGAGGCTACTGAGGAAGGAAAAGGGAGGTCATATAACAGAGAGAGAAAACCTCACAGCATGTGGTTTATTTTTATGTCCATAGGATGTTGCGCAATCTTTTTTTGGGTCACAGCCTTTCTAGCATTGTATTAAGATGTTTTCTTAGCCCTGTTTATGGAAAACAATGTTAAACATATCATTGATGAAATGTATTTCTGTGATTTTTAAAAATATATATTTAAAGTGACCACAAAAGCCAATCTTTTTGGCTGACTTAGTTTTATCCCAGGGATTTCTTTAAATGTGCCAAAGCCCCATTCTCTTTGTTCCCCCAGTGTTTTTGCTGACTCATTAGTTTCATTATTAAGATCCTTCAGATATTTTGTAAGGTCCAAACGAAACCAAGCATGAAACATTGGGGAGTGTTTTTAACCAGTTTTTAATACTTTCTTGTTGATCAAAACATTCATGTGTATTGCATCTGTGTCAGCTGTGTAATTTGTCATTTCTTTAAATGAGACTGTGCATTGTGTCTGTTACTTTACAGACAGTATCTTCTCAATTCCTTCAGTATTTCTTATTAACATACGCAGTCTGTTTTATTTAAGCAGACAAGGGAACAAAATGGATATGTAGGTAGATTTCCTTTTTAGATCAAACCACTCTTTTATATTCTTTCTGTTCTCTCACTCGTTTCGCTTATTTCATTTTTAATGGAGGAAATATTTCCTTTGTTTGTATAACCAGTCCAACCGGCGTTCAGCTTGTTTTCTTTGGATTCAGGCTGGTGGGGGAGGATAAAATAATACTCCAGCGAAGTTTTCAACATTCCAAGCAAATATACTGGACTTCTTTCTTTTTTCTTTTGGTCAGTGAGTTCTTAAATATTGATTGAAATGTGACCAATCCTCCAATTGTATTAGATCATATTTATGCATATTTGTGATTTAAATGGGGTGTTTTGTACTCTGAATAACATTGGACTATACTTTTTCTTCTGGAATATTCTTTTCAACAATGGAAAAAGGACTTGTTTGAATTGAGAAGTATGTTTTTTTTTTTTTTTTTGTGAATACAGTGTAATAAAGATGTGTATTCATTATTATGTGTTGATTTGGTTTGTGTGATGAGTGGCACAGAAAGTGTATTACTTCTGTTGCATTGGTTAAGCTTGTTTGTGTGAGTCAACTATGAATGGTGATGTACAAATATCAGTATATAGAGCTTGAAAAGTTCTGTCCAGAAGTTACTGCAAATACTCTTTACAAAACAAACATATATTTTAAAAAGTATAGGAAGGGAGAACATTATTGTATTTAAGTGCCAATCGGACCTGACAGGTGGAAAAGATGCTCAGCTTTTTAGATGATTGATATAGAGATTTTAAGGTGAAGTTTAGGGGGATCAATCCTTTAAAGCAATGGTTAAATGGGCAAATAAACCTTTACTCAAGTAACCTACTTATATAAATCTAGATTAAATGGGGACCAGAGAGCCTAAAATGTTTTAAAAAATAGGTTTAAACAGAGCTGCTTAACATTATTGAACCTACATTTTTTAAAAACAAACATTGTTTGACTGATACCTAAGCACCAAACACAAGTCATTCAGTTGTGTCACATTTTAATTTTTTTATCTAATAATAATTACATACACTGTGACCATCTGAAGGTGCAGCTTCAGATGATTCTTTTAGTAGCAGTGCATTTTTTTGTTATAATGGTGTAACTACTGATTTAGGCATCATATAAATACATTGAAAGACTAATTACATCTAAAATGTGGTAGCAATACTCAAAAAATGTCCTTGCAATTGACTAAATGTGGACTTTTTGCAACGCTTTAAAGTAGGCCACTTACTTTGTTATCCAATATGAATACTCCATTAGAAGTAAATTGCATAAAAGTATGAAGTTTGAAGATGTCAGCGTGATAACTGTAATAATTGTAGTCCGAGAGGTCTTGAGGGTACCATAGGGCAGGCCTCCTCCTAAAAAATACATATTATTCAATAATTGTTTTGTTTTTGTTTTTTCTGAAATGTGGCAGAAGTTAAGTTTAGTATGTAAAAATCATGTGCTCCTTAAAAATGAAGCCCTTCAGTTAACATACAAAGTTCCACCTTTAGTCAACCTCATTCATGTATTTCATTTTTTTTTAATATCAGACATTTTTGGTTTAAGTTTCTCTCGATAACAGTAACTTTTTTTTTTATAGATAAAAGACTGTATTGTGTGCTACCATCAGATACATCGAAATAATAAAACCTCGAAATTATTAAGAAACCGATTTTTATTTTATACAACATCTCCCCCTGTCGTTCGAAGTAGGGAATATCACTACAACGCTCCACCGGATGTTTATATAAAATCTCGCGATATCAGGACAGACGAGAACCTCAGACGTTCTTTTCCCCGGAACATCAGGCAAGATGGTAGGTGTAAAATAGACCGTGATGCTCTTCAAACTACAATCTATATGCATCTGAGCCGAATAGTTACTGATTATGATAACTGTGCATACAATCCGACAGTCACTTACGTTAGCTGACGATTCAGGAGGGAATTGTTGATGAAATGCCGGATAAATATGTGTATAAGTGCTACAAGCCAGTATTAGCAAACGCCGCTTATTGCTAAGCTATCATTTTGGTACATCATAACCTGGAGTAGTAGCGTTAATAAGAGTTGGGCTTTTAATGTAGAGTTGGCTGAAGCTCGGTGTAATTAACTATTGTATAAACACCAATGTCATTGACTTCGGTTTAAATAGTAACTATGCAACAATGAACTTGCTAACTATGTTAGCTAATGGGGTGATGCCTCTTCTTTCAGGCGGATACTGAGATCAAGAAGAAGCGTACCTTCAGGAAGTTCACCTACAGAGGTGTGGACCTGGATCAGCTGCTGGACATGTCATAGTAAGTAAGAAAGGACTGAGGTTAAGTTACAAGTGTTGTGTGTATGTTAAGATCAGGTTATGCTGTCATGTCAGCTTGGTAATGCCACTGAATCAGAATTCACTCGTAGATGTTTAGTAGTCACTTAAGCCCCTCTGTTTAAAAAAACTGTCTAACCATATTACAGATACATTGGTAATGCACAGGGTTTCATTGACATCTCTCATGTTTCCCTGTGTAGTGAGCAGCTCATGCAGTTGTACTGCGCCCGCCAGAGGAGGAGGCTTAACCGTGGCCTGCGCCGCAAGCAGCAGTCCCTCCTGAAGCGCCTGCGTAAGGCAAAGAAAGAGGCTCCCCCAATGGAGAAACCTGAGGTGGTGAAGACCCATCTGAGGGACATGGTCATCCTGCCTGAGATGGTTGGTTCCATGGTTGGAGTGTACAATGGCAAGACTTTCAACCAGGTTGAAATCAAGGTGAGAACCTACAGGGAAGCACTCGAGTACATTTTGAAACTCATGCTTACTGGGATCAGACTTGCTGTTGGTGGCTTAATTGTCAAAAGTAGGAAAAGGAACATTGATTTGGGTGTGTAAAGGAAAAATACCTAAGGTGGTCTCAATTTGTCATAATTCTTTGTGACCCTATTAAAAGCAGTTGTCATCTGTTTTATTGATGGGTTGGAATTTTTGAGTAATGGGCAACTTCATGAAGAACTTCAGCGATTTAAGCAGGCAAAGTAACATCTCTGCTATGGCAGCTTCATCAGCTCATTTTTTTTCCAAGTCCAGTGTAGCACTGAGTGGTTTTAGTTAAGCCCTTGGACACTTCTGAAGTACCTTTTAGCAAGGCATGTAGCCATCTGCTCTGGGTGTCAGACTGCGACAAAAACCTTTCTGTCAGCTCTCTATACAATTATTCATGTTTTTAAGGTCATCGTAGACAATTCTGGCTCCCCATCTATGCGCCATTGCATTAAATTGATAAACTATTCTTCCCTCTACCTGATCAAAAATCCACTGAAGAAAATGATTAACTCCATTGTGTTTATGGTGGGCTGAAATCTTTCCAAGAGGATGTGTAAAAAAAAAAAATATAATATATTTGTTTTGAAATAAATTGGAACAGCCAAAGTATAGCCTTGTGGATCAGTCCATGCAATGAGATGGTGTTTACTAGTAACCCTAGCTGAATTCAATTGACTCAAGCTCATCGATAGTACCTGTATAAAAATGCCAGTAATTCAGCTTTAATTGTACTTGTTTCAACGACTCTTTTCAGACCTTGCGACTAATACATTTTTCTTCTCCACAGCCCGAGATGTGCGGACACTACTTGGGCGAGTTCTCCATCACCTACAAGCCAGTCAAGCATGGTCGCCCCGGTATTGGAGCTACACATTCTTCTCGTTTCATCCCTCTGAAGTAGAATGGCTGTATTCTTTGTATAAATAAAAAAGGGTTGCTCCACAAAACATGTCTGCTTTAATTTCATTTGCATATTATTTAAAAAAAAAAAACACCAGCTTAAAAATATACATGCTTTTCAAACTGAAGCTTGACCTGTGAAGTATTTTGGTAAATAGTATATGTGGGTTTTAAGATGACTTAAAAATAAAAAGTGCATTTTTCTGTTAGCAAAGTTGATGAGTTGTGATCACCACTTAAAACCTGAATAATCGCCTGAGAATGTTTGCTGTCAGGATTTATATCATTTATTTAAAAGAATTAAAGTGTGGCTGTGAGAAAATGGAAAGGACTTCAGATTTTAAATATTTAATATTAATGGTCGTCTTTGTGACACGGAGATTAAAATCTTGTTTTTTTTAACTGCGATATGATTAAGTGCATAGTTGGTAAATAAAAATAAAAATAGGACAAGTAACCATCCTGCCACAATCCGCGCAGCAGTGACCATAACTGACGCATCATTGTCGCCTGTGCAGCCTTAAAACAGTCCGGGTGTGAACTCCACCAGCGCAAAGGTTCCGCCTTCTATCTGGAAGCCCGTTACATTCTGTGAGGCCACTCTGGGCCATGGATGCAACCTTTAGCAGTTGCACAGTCTTTTTATTGACACAAAGCTGATAGAGTCTATAACTTGGTTAAAGGAACAGTGGCCAGATTGGTAAGTAGTCATCTTAGTGTTAACCTGTTTTGTTGGGACGATCGATTTATTGTCTGATTTAAGAGAAATACAAGACACCGCTAGCACCGCGGCTATCTTGCTCCTAGCTTGGTAGCATGCTAGCGACAGTTAGCTTCAGTGACAGAAGAGAGCTGTCATGTCAAAGTGAAGCTTAACGGAGACACGGTTTGATTACTGTCACTTTATAAAAGCTGGTGATATCCACTGGCTGTCAGCTGTAACCTTGTCAGTGCTGTTTTAAATGTTGTCAGTAGTTATTTATCCGGTGTTTTATCAGTGGTTTAAACCCGAGAACAAAGCTCTATTGTAGGCTAGCTAACCTTAAAGGTGCCGGTGTTTTACAAATCTACCGACTTAACACAACTATTAAAATGTTTTTACTTCAAGTTAACAAGTATTAAGTTACTATCCGAGCCAAACAGAGCTTTTCTTTCTGGCTAAGGTTACAAGTTGCAGTGTTATTACATCCATTTTAAGATATTTGACACAGTCTGCGGGAGGTTACGTTCAGGGGAAAGTTCAATGATAAGATGAGTTTCTATTTTTATTATGTTGAAATTCAGCCTTTGGGTTAGAAAGGTTTCATCTGAAACAGTCGCACAAATAGTCAGATCTTAGTTTAGTCATGAATGAGTTAATCAATAGACTTCTTCACAGTTGTTGGTTAGGAGAAAACTGAGCCTGTTGTGTTTGTTGAATTGACTCTTAATGCTTCTGCTAACTTCAGTTGAGGTAATGTTAGTTGTAGTTTTTTTTGTATTTATTTCAGCACTGTTACACTTGAATATTGTGTATAAATCTCAGCTGCCATAATTAGGACTGGTGTTATGACCCAACTGGGTTTCAAACAAAACTGTTTTTTTCCTCAAGTAAAGTATATAGTGTTGTGTCTACTTAACATCAGCAGTCACACATTCACCAACATTTTGCTGGACAATTTTTAAGGTATATATTGTGATAAATATGGTTGTTTTAGGTGAGCACTA